CTTCCCCAATCCCGGTTGAGATCACTGTCCCAGAGCCACCAGCCAGAAAAACTTCAAACCACTGGGTGAGAAAGTCAGAATGACCTTAATCACTTGGTGCAATTAAAGTTTAGTAATATTTGTGTATATATTATTCATGATTTTAAGTATTTTTTTGTCCTTCTCTGCAGTGCCACATCAGTACTTATGTCTGGTTGTTACTGGGTTACCCTGTCCTGGCTGTGGTCCACTCCCTGGCCTGTGTGCTCTCCTGGCTGCTGGTCTTCACGATACCTGTTTTCAAAATGAATGCTCGCACAATGACCATCGTCCTCCTCATGGCACCAGAGGACGTTCAGATTCACAAACTAGAAAAGGTACATGGTCATTTTCTGTTAGTCAAGAGATGTCTGTCTGTCTGTCCTTTCTATTCTATAGAGCTTTTATAGCCAACTTATTGGCTATGGTAACATGTAGTTGAAGTGCTCCACATGTTAGTATGAGTAATGCCTCTAGTGTTTGCAGTGTGTAAATGGCCAGTCTAAATAGTGCATCTATTACAGTTCAACCAAATCACAAAGAAATTAGTTCTCTTATCCCCCAGCGGTGTGTAACATGTAGTTTTGGTTTTATTTGCAAAGGTTTTGAGATATCTGCCTCTGACAGTGTCAGCGGTTTTCATTGGGAACTGACTTCAATTGAAGGTGCAACCAGAAAGTTGTTCCTTGAAAGAAATGTTCATCTAAATCCATTACACAGGCGAATATCTCAAAACCTTACCACAACAAAACTGTCTGTTACCATTGGAGGTAAGTGGAACAAATGTTTTTTCTTTTGACTTGCCCTTTAAACGTTATCCATTAATTGACAGTTTACATCTAATATATTTGTAAGTTAAGGTGAGTGTTTTGTTTTCTCTCTTTCAGACACTTGGGTGCGAGACCAGAGTCATCTTATGCTGTTATCAAGCTTTCAATGTGTATTACTACAAATACACGGTCCAAGGAATCAACATTTTTGCTCTCAGTATCCTTTTTTGGATTGTTGGATTTAACTTAATGAAAAGTGCTTGTAAAATACCAATCACTGATGGCAATACTGTATTCTCAATGTTATTCCTGGACCTAAGACTTGGAAACATTTTCAACAATTTTTCATCCCATCCCCATCAAGATAGCATTTTAACAAGGAGCCATTGTTTACTGCAGATGTACATGGTCAGTACAGTACTGGTCTGTTCACTGTCCATCCATTTTTTCTCCTTAAGTCTATGTTCCCTGCAGACCTGCTTCCCCTGGTAGTAATCACTCTGATTATTGGCTATACTGACCGAGAACACAATTACTTCAGTGCGGAGACCAAGTTTGCCACAGCCATCGCTTCCATCATTCCACTATCCTATTATATTGGCATGGGTATAGCCAGGTAAGGTGTTTTATTATTTGATTTGTAGATGAATGTAAACAAAAGGAAAAACATTATTGCAACCCAAACAGACTTGGGTTGCAATAACTTCCTACTAACTCCTCATGAATTATATTTTTATTGTTAACTACATATTCCCACAGCATTTCTGCACAGAGTAATTTTGCAGTGGGAGCAGTGGTAAATGCAACGTTTGGCTCCATCACAGAGATGACGTTTTACATCACAGCGTTGCTGCAGGGGCACCGTGCTGCCACCAAATGTTATGAAGAGATCGTTAAAGCAGCACTCACTGGGACCTTGCTTGGGTGCATACTGTTCATACCTGTGAGTGCCACAGGTGTACATGTCTGCATTACAATCCTTTCTGTGAAGTTTGGAGGCACTAACCTCTTAGTGTGTGTGTGCTGTCTGTCTGTCTGTCTGTGTCAACTGCTCAGGGTATCTGTATGATCATCGGGGGCATTAAACACAGGGAGCAGCGATTTAACAGTCGTTCAGCCGGAGTGAGTTCGGCTTTACTCTTCATATCCATAGGAGGTATGTACTGTATGGCAGCTACATTTTTAAACACCATGTCCTACACCAACAGATTCATAAAACTCATAATTCTTAAAATATCGTCCCTAGGTGTGTTTGCTCCAACGCTCTTCTCAAAGATCTTCGGCAATCTGGTGTGTGAAAGCTGCACCATTATTCCAGGCAATGTCAGCGTACCCTTTATCTGCAAGGACTGTCACTACGACACGGTGGGCTGCTTCTCTTAACCATCATATAGTATGACTTCATGCTTGTGGCCAATTTTACCTGCACTTTGTGTGAACACATTCAAGATACCTTTACAATGAAGAATAAATATTTATGGGGCTCCACAGCTAAAATATATAAGGCTAAGTGATTGATTATAATTTCCGCCTTCATTTTTTGCTGTTTTTGCAGAGTCAAACTGACCCTCATTTGATTCTGTCCCAAATTGAGTAAGTTCAGGTGCTACACACAGATGTATTTTGTTTTGCAGCTGTTTTTCAAAGTAATCTGCTTAATAGTGGACTAACTAATTAATTATTAAATTAAAAAAATAACATTTTCCAGGCCCCTGGTGTACACCATTTCTGTGCTTCTGCCTACTGCATACCTGATTGGCCTCATCTTTACACTGAAGACTCACTCCCACATCTATGATATCCATATCAGCGATGGCCAAGACGGCCATGCACACGGTCAGTACGCACAAGAGGGTACCAGCACCTTCCAGCCCACTGGTGAGGTCACCACTGGCCATCTCCATGCAGCCCACTCGTGTATTAATGCCAGCATTGTTGCCACCAGCCAGGTGGCTGCAGCAGGTGTGTGTGTGTGGGGGTGGGGGTGGGGGGTGGGGGTGTGGGTGTGTGTGGTGTGTATTTAATGTTTGGGCTAAGGAAGATGAAGTTGCAATGCACTGACTGCCTGCTATAATAACCTGTTTGTGCATGTAAGGAAGGCATTTCCCTTGCAGTTGCAAGTTGTGTCTGTGCATGTTCTTTTAAGCATGTGAGGGTAAAGTAAAAAAAAAGTTAAAAAAAATTCAGACTTGGAACTTGATTGGACGTATGTGAAAGTGGGGAAGCATATAGCGTGTGTCTGGCCCCAGCAGGTCACCATGTAGTCCACTGGTCCCGGTGGAGGGCTCTTGCAGTGCTGATTGTTGCCACAGTGTTGATGGCTTGCTGTGCTGACATTAGCACGGAGAACATCGAGCCCATCCTGACCCATTCCTCCATCTCCCAGGTATTCAAAATACTGTATTAATAAAGAGTAAGAGATCAATTCAACATGTATTAGTATATAGCAGAGGGTGCAAACCCACAATTCAAGTTGAACTTCACAACCTGGAATACCTTTTGGAAAACCTAAATCCAACTTGCTGTTTGCAACAAGAGGGTTAAGATGAAACGTAGTTTTATGGAGACTCAACATACCTGATATGTTTAGATATAAAGAGAATGAATGTCTGCCTCAATGCGTTTCTTTGTTCTCGATGCAGTACTTCATCGGTGTCACAGTGTTGGCCATGGTGCCAGAGCTTCCTGAGATCGTCAATGGCATCCAGTTTGCACTGCAGAACAACATCAGCCTGAGGTACAGACTGCAGAAAATTACACATGGTGTTTTTTTTCATATAATTTTGAACAGAAATTAGACTTCATACATTATTTTTTTCCCCATAAATTGATACAGACTGAGCCAGAGGAGTGTTATAAACATTTTTAACTTGTTTCTACAGTCTTGAAGTAGGCAGTTGCATTGCTGTGCAGGTCTGCATGATACAGATTCCACTACTCATACTCTTCAATGCCTTCTATGTAAGTGCCCATTTTTTGTAATTAATAGATTTCTTTACACAATGCAATAGTTTAAATCATGACTTGGCTTGAACCTTTTTTGTTTCCCAGGATGTTGGATTCGTGCTAGTGTTCAGTGACATTCATCTCTGGGCCAGTATCTTCAGTGTCATTCTGGTCAACTACATCTTCATGGATGGAAAATGTGACTACTTTCAAGGTAAGTCATGAGGCAGAGATTTCCCCACATCAGAAATGGACATCAATTCAAGCTAGAATTATCATGTAGATTATAATCAACTCTTTTTTTTGTTTGCAGGAACTGCTCTAGTGGTGGTCTACCTCATCCTTTTGGCCCTTTACTTCTTTGCTCCTTCTCCACGCTCGTGTTGATCTGCTTGCCAAGAAAAATCCTAAGGCTGCAAAATGTAATGCCACTATTAAAAAAAAAAAAAAAAAAATACAATAACCCTTTATCTTCAGGTGGTGTGTGTTCAGTGGCACTAAAGGTGGAAACTTTGGATTGGCTTTTTGACATTTCACAGTGGAGCTATAAAGTGAAAAGATGTCTGCTTTTGGGCAGTATATGATATTGAATGGTGTTTTGTGTGTGAGCATTTTCCCAGTCCTGGCTGTCATTAAACATCCATATATTGGTCTTGCATTTAATGTATTCACATTTTGTAACGTGGTTTATATTTGATATAATAAATGCATCAATTGATACATCTTTTTGAACCAGTGCTTCACTACCTATATCATTTACCAACTGGTCGAGGCAGATGACCACCCACCTAGAGCCGAAGGGTCTGTCCTAGGTTTCTGCCTCTTAAAAGGCAGTTTTTCCTTGCCCCTGTCACCAAGGTCTTGCTCATGGTGGTACTGTTGGGTCTCTGTAAATAATGTCATAAGGAGTTCAGTCTAGACCTGCTCTATTTGAAAAGTGTCCTGAGATAACCTCTGTTATGAATTGGCGCTATACAAATAAAATTGAATTTTGTATTTAAAAACATGGCTTTTTGAAAGATTACTATAATTTATATTGGATTTTCATTACTGCTACATTTTGATATCTTGGTTCTCTAAAGTTGGTTATTAAACATTGAGATGCTAGTATGCTCAACTAACAGGAAAAATGGCATGCTTGTTATGTGAATTCTCAGAATAGGAGGAGCAACAGCAGTTCATGCAAAAAGTAAAACGGTTTGGGTTTTATTTCTGTTGTATCATGCTAATTATTAGTCAAGCAAAGGAAATTGGGGAAAAGAGAGCTATTTACAGAACACTTTTATTGACAGTACTCCAATACAACATTCACACAAGCCTACTATACAACATTTTAGTGGTCACCTTTAAAACTATGTCCCAAAGTAAAGGTTAGATGATGTTAATATAAAAAGCAGGTAATGACATCATGCACAAAGTAGTGTGTTATGCAGAATGGAAATAAAGGGGCAAGAAATGCAGGCAAACCATCGGGCAACATTTCATCCTGGGTCTCGACTAACCTCTCATCCCTCATTATAATCACACTTTGTTCAAGATGCGACATTATTTGGCATCAGGTAAATTCATTCATTAAACATGTGAACTGTATTGAACACACTGACTTGACACGTTGAATAAGTGCTTTTAGGATTAATACCCAAAAGGCTTAATATGCTGCATGCTGTCCTGAAGTCCACTCTTTCTGGCCATTAACAGGAACAGAACACAAAGCTTCTGCATCCTTGAAACAGGATACAAAATTGATGTTTTTGCCACGGAGATGTTGAGTGATTATATGTAATGACTTGTTGAAAATGGTTAAAATGTTCACTTACTTGAAAAAACACAATTTTCAACATGATCTTATACTGCCTGTATTTGTGAAATTTCAACCTCATTAGAAGTTTGAAAAAGGCACTGCAGTATAAACAAATGTTTGTATAAGCCTGCTACTGAAGCAACTCCCTGTGTAAAACATCTTCTATGTCATCAACAGAGAGGGAGTAAAAGTCTGAACAGAATTAAGTCTTTATTCGAATAAAAGCATTTTTTAAATTAAAATTTAAAGAGCACCAAATTCACAGTGATGTGTTGCATGGTTTGGTTTACAAATGAGAGCTGCAAGAAAACAAGATGGAAATTAAATCAATTTGATGATACCCACCTTACTTTTGACTTTTTTTGCAGATGGTTTTCCAGGCAAATTGTAACCTAATGTATAATGGAAAATAAAGGAAATACAAAGGCTCAGACATTGAACCCTTTCTTCACATACTAATGAGGAGCATCCAGTGTTTCTGCATGGTTTAGCTAAGTTACCAGAAATAAAATACATGATCCATGACCACTTTAAAGGCATACCACAACTTTGTTTTTTTTAAATGTTTTTTCCCTCATCTCCAGGCTGACACTGGTTTCCATTCATGTAGTATGAAAACAAATCTGAAAGACTTGAAATTTAAGATTGGTAATCCCTCACAGTAAACACCATGTCTGTGTTTATTTATGTCAAAGTTATGCAAGGATAACTTCAACCATAAAAACACATTAATATCAGCGTGATTGATTATGTAAGCTTCAAGTTGCTGGAAGTTGATTTTCATACCATAGGAAGAAAACAGCTGCCTGAAAGGTTGCAAAAAAAAAAACATTTTTAAACTCTAAAACACTACAGGATGTCAGCAGTAATGAAGATTTTATAGGAGATCAAATTAAATTAGCTAAAATGTGCAAAAACACTGACATGGCCCTTGGTAAAACCACTGTCTGCCACTTTCTAGAGTCATTACTTAGCTTATAGGATCTATTAAAAAAAAAAAAGTAAATGTCCACAAATTTGCAAGACAAAGTGTGCAAACAGCAATATCATGTGATGAGAATACCCCCAGTATAGCAGATTTAGTCCTTCAAATAAATATACATGCATTCTTCCTCTGCACAGAATTCTTAAAAGTACTAGAGAAGGCAGATTTTAAAAACATGGGAGAGGACAGTCTTTGAAAGCGTGACATGGCAAAATAAAGTATTTCCGGCTTGGCAGTTTGGAGGATGAGAAGCGGGAATTCGTATTTAGCTTGACACAAAGGCATCATGTAAGGAAAAGGGGTGGCTGAGGGGCGGGAGTTTGAGTAAAATCCATAAAACATTCCACATTTATTTTCTTTATCATCACTGAAACTGCGGAAAATAAGAGCGAACGAAAAAAGGCATCGCATTGCTTTTGGTTTTAAGGCGGGGCTACGTTAGGCAGGGGAGGGAGAGGGCATTTTTTCCCGAGAATTTTGCCGTGAATTAAATTCTGTGCTCTGTCATCTCCTCCCAGTCCAGCCCAGTCCATCCCATCCATTCGTTTGTCTGTCCTCCACTGTGCGGCCTATTTCAAGCGTTCAATGAGTTCCTGTGTGAGGCCCAGGTTGAGCAGCTGCATGGTGGGGAGTGAAGTCAGGTGGGGAAAGGCCTTGAGGAGCTTCTCCCAGCATAGCTCCAGCAGGCTGGGCACAGCCAGCCAGATCTTAAAAAGAGAGCCAGTTCTCTTGTTCTCATGGATGTTCACCACACCACCATGGATGTACATGCAGCCAGCCTGGGGATGGAGTGAAGGAAAGAGAGAAACTTAACATTTTATATACAATGGAGAGTTTGCCACAGAAAGGAACTGGGGTATAAGGACTGTTGCTATTCCAAACTACAGTTCATTGATTAAACTTATATAGGTAGAGTGACCAGGAAGCGTAGTTTTCTACTAACTGGGGTGACAGCAGCACAGTGGAAGTAGGCCGGCTCAGGCATCACTGCTGGTAGTTTACTCCACTGGAAAGTCTGCAGATTAATCTTCCACAGATCAGCTAATATCAATTCCCCGTTGTAGCCTCCACAGATAAATACATCTACAAGGGAGAAAGATGAAACATCAGACACTGATCACGTGGTTGCACATGTGTTAGCTCATAGGGAGGTACTTTTTATATAAGACTGACGGTTTAACATTTGAGGATGTGATATCAAATTTCAGGAGCACCTGTTTATCTTTGAAGCAGAATAACAGAAGTAGGATTTTTATCAGGTGACGGTAGTTGCACAGCATTGTTGAAAAATTCTCACCATTTCGTATTTGTACACAGCTATGGCATCTCCTAGGAGCAGGATATCCTGTCAAAAGCACAGACTTTTTAGAAGGGTATGAATAATAACCAATCAGGCTTAGTTAATAATGAGGTGCAGACTACAGACCTATTTTGTCATGAGGTTTAGTTGTAATCTCCTCCCAGGAATTGGTCTCCAGATTGTAAGCATGTATCTATTAAAAAGACAAATTATTTACTGCCTGGTCTAAGTCAGTGTTTGGTGCAGTGATTAAGATGGCTTGTATACAAAACAAAACTGTAACATAAACCGTAATAAACAGTCATCCAGACACAGTAGATTATCTTTTTTCACTCTACTATATTTACAAAAACCAATGTTCTCTTTAGAAATCTCTTTCATCTTCCTCAGCTCACTAACAAGCGCGCTGGAGACGAAAAATACAATATATAGGCCAGATATCGCTTCAGCAGTTATAAAAATAAAACTAAGTTGTTCAGAGTTTTGAGCTTGAAACGTTTTGAATTTGAAATACTGGCTGGCCCACAGTTTCGGTGACAAGGGAAATGTGTTTGGTGAATCTACCCTTAGTGGTTTAGTACCTTGTCCAGAGGGTAAGATGTCCAGGAAGTTCCTCCTCCCAGAATGTAGATCCTCTGTCTGTCATGTGCTATTTCATGCCTGTACCTGTGACACACGCATACAATAGCACACCATGCTAAGGAGTTTTACACAACTGGAAAGAGCCCTGCTTATTTTCCCCCATCCTGCAGCACATTCAGGCGTCATAAAGGCTTACCGTTCCTCAGGCAGGTCATCAGGAGGGTTGTTGGGCTTGAGGTGGATCCACTCCCTGGTGGTCAGGTCCAGCCTGTGCAGGTCTGTGCTGTAGATGTAACCCGTTGTCCCTCCAAACACGTACAGGAAACCATTTATAATAACCATTGCCTGAAGGAAAGAAGATATGAAATAACAGCCTTAGTAAGAAGGCGCTCTAAAAGAAATCAAAGTTGAAAAATTTGTAAATTCACTTACAACCAATTTTTTCAATATTTCAAATCCCTAAACTGAATTTGTCCAAGAAAAGAAATCAAATGACTTATGAAGGAACTATGAGGTTACCTGTCCATAGATTCTGTTGGGCTTCTTCCCCCGACAGTTGAGCAGTGACCATCGCTTGTACTTCACATTACAAACATGTACGTCATTACCGTTATTTTCACCAAAGGGGATCCCAGTGCCGCCAAACACCAAGAGGTTGTTGCCGTGCAAAACAGCTGAAGAAACACAGCAACAATTCAAATAACTCAATTGTCATACACCTTTTTTAACAGAAAACTGGGGTTTGTTTTGTGTATGAAATACTAATGAGTGCTAGTACAATTATATAGTATCAGAACGGTCAAAACTATTAGATATACAATGTTTCACCTGACATAGACGCCAGCTCTGTGGGCATATAGCCCTCTGTTCGAATCTGCTGCCAGCAGCCTGTGGCAAAGTGGTACCTCCAAAGCTCCCTGAACAGTGGATAGTCTTCATTCTCTGAGCCTCCTGACTCATCGTAGTCAGGGTTGTACCCTCCAAACACATACAGGTTAGTGTTGTCAGCAACACAGCGATGGCCACTTCGGGCGGGAGGAGTGCGATGACCTGGAGAGGGAGGAACAAAGCTCCATAGAAGGAGGAGAAAGGAGGATCATTTAAACTGAGATACTAGATAAGTACTAGACTGATAAGATAAAACACACAAAAGTGCAAAATACAAGTACAGTTTCAGTAAATTATCATCGGTTGTATTTACTACAAAATCTGACTGAACTGACTGTGGAGTCATCACTGTGCATAGTCGTGTTAATAAAGCCAATTTTGTTCATGTATTCATTCTTCCTTGTCACAGAATGCTGAAGGATATCCCAGCATGCCCTGGCAGAAAGGGTTAACACTTGAAGATGAGTCACCAGGGCTAACACATAAACACATTCACATTTGAGCAGTTCTTAACCTCAAGTTTGCCTGCATGACTTTGAATTTACTTTAAAAGGAAAACAATGGGTAACATAAACAAAACTCAATGAAAGAAAGCCCCAATATATCCTAGCTGGGAGGCGATAGTGCAAACACCTTTGCCAGCTCTGGAATCAGGAGCTATATTATGACACTGTCCTGGTGATAGATCTATATTTATGCGATAGCATTTCTTTGTGTATTGTTTACACCCAGTTGAATCTCAACTTAATACACCTGCTCAGGGACAATAAGCTGTGAAAACCTTTCAATGTTGCTTAAGCAAGAAGTGTGTCTTCCCCATTATACTATATATGTCACGACCTATGTAGTGTATTCCAAATTAAATGACACTTACCAAGCAGACAGAGAAAGAAGTCTGTTCATATCATACAGTGATGTAGTTAAAATATACAAGCAGACTTAGCAGAATTATCTGCAAGGCTCCCACTTTTACCTTATAAGGAAATCTATGCAAATAGAAGAAAATAAAACATCACCATTTGAGCTACTGTTTTCTATCCACAGGCACACAATGACAGAATACAGTGCGCGATATGCCAAATCTAATAATGTACCTCTGTTTAATGTGCTAAGAATAGAACAGAGGCCTACCTACAACTCGACACTGATGTTCCAGCCAAACAATGCATTTTTAATAATTAGGATGTGTAATGGACTGGGAAAGCACAGCGATTAAGAGGGGCTAACAGATACAAAGCAGAGGAATGTAGGAACAGTGGCATGACCAAACATCCACACTGATCCAATGTGAATGCCCGAAACACAACACAAACGAGCAAGTTCATTACCATGGCTGTTCTACATTATCATCTCAAACTTAAATCAGATCATTCACAATCATAGCATACCGGGTCACTGGCAGACCTCTGTCCAGGTGACACTACATTCATTTGGCAGATGCTTTTGTTCAAAAGACTTACAATAAGCATTCACACTGAAGAGGAACAAAAGCTACATGTTATTAAAACTTGGAAGCGCAACACTTCCAAATAAACAGCTGAAGGTGCGCTCAGAAAGCTACAATTGACTACATGTTTAAAGTAAATGTTACATTCACGTCTGACATGTGAAATAGACCCAAATCTCTAGCTACCAACGTGGCTCGAACAAGAACAGAAGAATGGTTGTAAGAGTGGAAAAAAAATGCTGTTTCTTTCTGTTTTGAACTCAGATAAATATGTTACAATTAGTTATTTCTACTGAGCCATAATAAAAACACTGTGAAACTTCTGATAGCATCTCACAGCAAGAGTTTTTAGATTTTAGAGGAACTGGCCTCAGGTTACTTTTCACATTTGTTAGAGATGTCTGTGTATTTAATAAAATATGACCAATTAGGGCTAATTGAAGGTGCCAGTTAAATGGCAAGCATCAATATAAAAGCATCATCTAGAGTCTTCAATATTGTAATTGCTTAGTTCTGACCAAATAAATGTTTTTGCAGTTGTCTATGATAACTATCAGTCATCTAGGTCATTGGATATTTTCTGCAGCTGCATGTTAACATCAGTCAGAGGGTTATGAGGTGGACTTTGCTGGGCCGCAGGTGTGACTGGTCTTGCAAACAGTTTAAGACTAACACATATCTGTGATACAAAACATAAGAGGAGTCAATCCTTTCTGGCTTTTTCCACACACCCAGAGCAATAGAGTATGTTCTGTGAATAATGCTTATTTATACATTCTTTTGATACACCCCTTATTTAAATTGACAGAAAATTATGCTGAACACCTCCTTTAAATTGGCATTTAAAGTGTTTACCGAGTAACCAATGACTGTGTATCAGGCCATATACTACGCTGTCTGTGCAGCATTTAACAAAAAAGGTGTGATACCCAGCTTTAATGACACAACGTTAACACATACCATCTTGGGTATGATTGCTATACACGCTATTAAAAGATAAACAAGCAGAATTAACTGGATGCTACTAGCTTCAACGCTACACTTAGCAATGTCACCAGGTAAGGGCAACGCTAAAATGACGAACACGCAAAAGGTAGCACTGTATGTGGAGCAGCTGATCTCAGTCACACGGAGTTTTAGTCGACTGGTAAAATGTGCCAACGTTGAGTTAAAACCTATCCTTAGCGTGTGGTGCTAACATTGTTGACCGACCTGCTAGCGTCTCAGCGTGCGGCGGCCTGCCTGTCAGTTTCTCGAATTTATTCAGCTGGTCTGGACTGCGAGCACCTTCAGCGTCCGACATCGTTTCCCGTTACAATCCAGTCCTGAAGAATGTCAAATCAAATAAAAAACATGTGCTAAAGTGCTGATAAAACATTATAAACCACCCCACATCACAGTCACTTTGAAGCCATTCACAAATGTTAACCCCCCCCAGCACCGGCCGCGAGAGCCTTGGCCAATCAGAAGGCTTGTTATTAGGACGTGGCGTCATTAGAGAGGGGAGGGACTGCGCGTGTCTCCAAAACAACAACAGGGGTTTTTTTTTTGTTTTTGTTTTTGTTTTTTTTTAGCCCGAGGCCCAAATGTGGTGGTCCATGGAAATGATTTATGTAGTAAATGGAAATAAATCTTAAAGACAACTGAGAGAATACTCTACTTGTGTTATATCTCAATTAAACCTCCTTTAAGTTAACTTTTAGTTTAGTAGTTTTTTGTTTGTTTGTTTATTGTGATTATTTAACTGTTTTTTTGTTTCCTTTTATCTCTCTTTTCTATTAATATATGCTGCTTTCATGGATTTATTGTTAGGTATGATAAGCATCCATATGCATTGATGATGCCTGTTGTTACTTGGAGAAGCTTAATAAAGTTTTTAATGTAAGTAGTTAAATCATTAAATAATGCTAATCCTACTGGGTCCATAATTTAGAAATAGGTTATTTTTAACCCACTTAGGCAGGTTATTTTGTCAGAACCATGTCACCGGACAGCCACCAACCAAATTATGTAAAAAAAAAAGTTAAATTTGTTTAATTATATTTTGTGTTATTTAAATGTATTAATTATTTCATCCTTCATTTTGGTTTAAATGTTATCAGATATGTAGGTACGTTTTCATTTTATTTAGGTATATATCAGAATCACTTTTATTGGCTAGGTATGTGCACACATACAAGGACTCCGGTTTTAGGTTGCTCTCAATGTACAAACACAGACTAAGCATAAATAAACAGGACAACAAGCTCAACAAAATAGCTCAACTATATATATAGTCACAGGGTTATTTTACAGGGACTGTTCCTGACACTGTGTATATATTTAGGTCTAAAAATTGGTCCTGAACACTAGTGAACAATATCACAAAAAATAATAGCCTAAAAACTTTTTAAAATAATCTCAGTGCATCTCAAAATAGGCTAACCTTATTTAAAAATAAATTATGCATTGCACTATTCTTTTGCCCAACCTTGATAAAAAAAAAAGAAAAAGAACCGTGCTATCCCTGACAACAAGCTTTTAAAATACCCATTAATAAAACAAAACCCTTGACTTTTGGGATTCGTTGCATTAAAAACCTCCACATAGCGCTCTCTACTGGGTGTGTGAAAAAAGGTCGACTGGTGCTTAGCACACAGGATGAAATACCAGCAGTGTTTGATGTAACCAAGGCTGGATTACCAACACAAACCCCACGGACCTTTTGCTAAATGATGCAGTGTTTTTACATTATGGTGCTGCAACTGAATATTGATCTGAATGTGTGTACCAATGTAATAAAAGTGCTTTAAAGTGAAATGCTTTAAATACCTATAAAAATGGGCAACTAAATGTGCAAATAAAAAAATCAATAAAGGTATCTTATTCCGAGTAAAAAGAGAAAACTATAAATCTAATCCTGATTTAAATAATAAATAATTCATTCTGTAAAATTAAAATAAATAAATGAGCTGCCTCATTGGCTGATCACATATTTGTATTCCTTTGTTTCCCTGTTGTCATAACAATTCCTACTTAATAAATACATATAAAGAATATTGTAGCTGATATCTCCAACCAGAGCAGAACCGTCTACTACAACAATCACATGAGGTCGACGGTGAAGAGAGCGGAACGATTTTCTTTCAGGGTTTTATTTTCCGGGGGACCTCAGAGCCGATCATGGCGACTCTCGGCGGCAGTCGTGGGGATCGTCTCGGCAACTCAAATCAACAAAAGTCTTCTCTTGCTTCTCCGGAGAAAGTCCGTGAACTTCTTAACGACGGGGTGTCGTCCACAGGTAGCGGACCCCACAGGTGAGTGCTTTTGAATTATCGCGCGCTGTTTGTTTGATGCCCGACAACACAAGTTGACATCGGCTAGTTTTGGGTTAGCCACTTAGCTCTGCAGCTCTGCTACTTTAGCCGCCTTCACTCAGCCTGATTTTGAAGGAAGCGCCGCAAGTCTCCACCGATGTGGGAGCTTGTAGGCCAGGAAGGGAAGTTTACACACCATTTTTTATTTGTTGCTTTTATTGTTTTTGTGTATTTTTTTTCTTTTTCTTCCATTTAACCTGAAAGCTTTGTGCTGGTGGTCGTCGGGCTATCGCTCTCGTGCACACTTACAGATAAGGGGGTGGGGACCCGAAAGTTTTACTCTTACCTGGATATCGTTAAGTTAGTAGCTGGCTATTCATTTCTGGAGTATTTCCTACTTGCTCGGTCAGGTTAAATACATTTATTTAGACTTTACTGTGAATTAATACAACAGATAGCTCTTGGTAAGAAGCAGCTCCTCTCCATTTTTTCCCCTCTGTTGTTACGCAGGTTTTATTCAGCTGAAATGTTTATAACTGCATGTCACTGTGTTTTAGCTTGCTGTCTGTTAAACCCAACAGCAAATTAACCTGCCACTTATTCATTACTTGTTGTATAAAATGTTATTCTCGTGTATTAGGAGAACTCTTACAGTGGCAAAGTAAACATACATGTAATCAGTGTTATTCAAATAATAAGCAAAAGTGTGTGGGTGCTGAATATGTGTTTTTCCCCTTTCACTTGGATTTCAGTGGACAAGGAGATTTGAAAGTTCTGGACGTAAAAAGCAACACTCAAGCACCTTGCGAGGCAACGAACAAAGAAGCCTTTTTCTCAAGAGTGGAATCTTATTCAATATCCTTTCAGTCATTTTGACCCAATATGAGACCTTTTTTATATCGTACAACCATGTAAACACTAAAAGAGAAGACACTTGTTGATCTATAATTTTGATATTTCACGTATAATGAAACTTTCATGATGGAAATGCATATATATCTACTTTGATTCAGAGTAATAGTGAATGTGACGATACTTTGTTGAGTGACATTTTCCTTAGCATAGCACTGTTTGAAATGGGCAGGCAAACCCCGGATACTGTCCCCTCTGATGTGTGCCAGATATGGCTGGATCAACGTTGGCTGTGATATGCTCAAGTGCTCCAGCTGCCAGGCTTTCCTTTGTGCATCACTACAAGCAACTTTAGACTTTGAAAAATGTGAGCAAAACTTTAACAGGAGAAGAGAAAAAAAAAAGCAATGTCACACCTCATATTGGTAAGGTTATGCAGTGTGCCAAAAATAAAGGTCAAGCAACTCTCCTTCTGTCTTTAATAGATGAATCCCGCATTGCAGAGATATCGAGGCAGCTTCAGACACAGCATGAGAAGTTTTGTCCCTGGCCTGACTTTCCATGCCCAGGTGGGAGCAACCATTTTACATACTAACAAAACTTCTCTTTAACATGACTGTGTCATTTCAGCTGTATTGACCCTGAGTTATCCACATGCTGGTCAAACTGAATGTTGATGTAATTTCAGAGCGGTTCTGGCTGGTTCCAGCATGTGAACCATCAGCACTTCTCACTGCCTTCTTGGAGCGCTTCCAGAGCGCCTGTCTCCTTGCACAGCAGCTGCCAGCCATGAAGCCAGAGCAGCTGAAGTCTATGGTGAGGCGGGAGAAGAACCTTAACTTTATTGGATACTGACAAAAATGCCCGCTGAAACATTATATATTATTATTGTTTCAGGAGATTGTGGAAAGGATAGTCTGATTCATTGTAGAAAATGTTTTGTCTTTTTACATTTAATTAATTTCAACTTTTTCCTTTCAGTCACTGACTGAGGATGTTGTCAGTGTTATACTGCAGCTGATCGAGGAAGAACAAAAAAGAAAGGGAGGGGCTCCATGTTCTGAACCTTTGGCAGTCCAGGTGGCTGCATGCATTGTTTCACTCTGTGGCTGGGCTGCAAGGTGAGATGATACTCCTCTTTTGCTGTGCTTGACTACTCATGACACTTTTGAATGTTTTAGTCACATTTTCTAGTAAACACAACTTGATATTGCCATAAACTAGAGTAAGGACACATTAAACTAATTTCGTACGTCATATATATCCTCGATGATGTACTAGCTGCATGGAATGAAAGAATTGAAAATGAAAGGCATGGGGATGTTTGAAACTGACAGAATCATGGCACAATATTTATTAGCATTCCTCCACCTGATCAAGATGTCTGAGCCATGGATTTCTCTATCTTAGCCCAGCTCTGCACGCCATGAACCTGCCCATCCTCACCTGCTCATACTGTATGCGCAAGGTGGGCTTGTGGAACTTCCATCAGATGGAGGGAATGGGAGGCGATGGAGAGGTGTTTACAAACACTCTAGGCCCCTCTACTCCAGTAACAGGTCCTGCCTCAGCAGTTACGCACGAGGTCCAGGGCGACCAGCCTGCTTCTGCCTCATCCACACCTGCTACAACTCCATGCCGCATGAAGCTAAGGAGCCAGGACTCCACCCGCTCTGACCAGGCAAGCTTTAAGCAACTGATGGCTGACCAGCTAAATAAGCTACGCTGTGCACATATTCATTTTAAGCAAAATTACTTTATGTATAACAATGGCAAATGAATCTGGTGTGTGTTACAGGGTGAGGGAACCTCCTCCCCCGTGGCATTGCGTGCTCGAAGCAGAGACTCACCAAGCCCCAATGAAGAGCTGCCAAGTCCTTTGACCAGAGGCAAAAGGACCGCAACTCGCAGTAAAGGACAAGGGGACAACTTTGGGGGTGATGGCGCTGCCAGCCTGCAGCACCCTCCTAAACGCCTGTGCCTCTCATCAGTCGGTGGTCCTGTAAGAACTAACATTACTGCTGATTTCACACCTTGTTTTATCAGTTTTAAATTGGCACACAGTTCACATTGATAACTTCTAATATGAATTTTTATATAAAAGTAATATAAATGATTTTAACACTGGCTGCTCAGTTCATCATATTAGAATCATAGTTTCAATGCACACTGCTATTCAGTCTGATTCTTGCATGACACATTTTGCCACATTTACATTAGCAAGGAGATATGTTACATTGAAATCAGTGCCTCCAAGTATATATGACAGCATGATGAATTGTACACAGGTAGAGGGGACAGAAATTATTCCAAAGTGTCAATTACTGTCAAAAGCACTTTGTTTGCAATGTTTCAAGGTTAACACTATACATTTATGCAAACACCCGATATGTCATCTCATAATAACAAAATAACAATCTCTCATAGGCACACAGAGATTACAGAAGCTACATTGTTGTCTAAACATTGTTAAACAAAGAGTGGGGGGAAAAATCGCAATTCACCCTATCCCTTATTTAACTTATTCAGGACAAGTTTGTATAACTCAGACCCTAGCTACATTTGAAAGCCGTGTTTCCATTACTTATTTTAAATTGGCTATTACAGAAAGCTTTTTTAGCTACTTCTTTCTCCTAACCTTCGTTATTTCAGGATGGGCTCCTGCACAAGAATTCATTTGACCCCCTCGCTCAGCACAGAGACTGGTGTCCCTGGATCTCTGTAGGAAAGGAGAATGTGGATCCAGGGGCAATCCAGTTTTTGGATGGCGGTGCAGCACTTCATCAGCAGGGCTGGAAGGCTGCTCTCGACCTCCTCGTGCCCATGAAGAAGAACTCTAATACAGCAGGAGGCAGTCCAGCACAGGCAAGTCGACTCTTCTGAGCTTTGCATTTTACAACAAAGCAGTCTCAACAAAAGTTACCCATCACATCCACCAGAAGGTCATGCATAGCAATAACAGGCTCTGCCACTTGGCTATGTAGCTTAAATTTAAATAATATCTGACATTTCTATATTCTCTCTTTCTTCCCAGGGCCCACGTGACAAGTCTAAAAGGGTGTTTGCTATATTCCGTCAGTGGCAGGTATCCTCCTCTCCGTCTCAGTAGACTGTTACATACAAACAGCATTGCAACACTGAATTGATGAACTGTCCTGCCTTCTTTTTATGGTACCGAGTCTGTAGTACCAATGACAGGAGTGTCATATCATATCAATGTACGCCATCCCATAAAGTCGTGTTTCTGGAGGAAGTTGATTGTGTCTTTAGGCAAATGAATGAGTGTCTTCTCTGTGAACAGTGAAATATGTGAAGGATGCCCGTGTGGCATTAAAACATTTGAATTCTGTGTCATGAAAATTGGGATGTGTGACTACTGGGGGGGCCTTTCTATAGGCCTTATATCATGTGTATACGTAAGTAGTAATAGAATACATCTCAGCATTTAAATTGACCACAGGCAAGACATCTACAACTAACCTCACATGAAGTCGGCTTTGGTAGTCCTTGGTGGTAGTCTGGAATTCTGTGGAACAAGACAAGTCCCTGATCGTGAGAAAGGGCCAAATGGCTTGACACTGGAAAGGCAACATTTACCTTCAATGTATGTTGAGTCATTTGAGGGAGTGGTAAACATTAACCTCAGATTAGCAAAAAATACTGTGAGGAAATCATTTTTGTGTGTTTACTGTTGTGGATGTGAGTTCTCTTTTTAAAGGAACAATTCTTTAGCTAGTGAAATGTTTTCATATAGTCAGTGCTAAAATCCTGCGTATTGCAGGCAGGTAGAACCATGTGCCATAAACTTCCAGTCAATTTTGAAATAGATTCAGGATACTTGTACTTTTTGCCTTTCTGTGACATCTGATTGCTAACTCAGTCCTCTCTGTTCTGCATGTGCTTTTATCTCCGTAGAATTTCCTTAAAGTGTTTAATAAAATGCTCTTCTGAAAGTTTGTTTCACTTTGCATGTTCCTCTAAAATATCAACTAAAGAAAATATGAATTAGACATTGATTAAATTATTATATTTCAATATATTAAGGTATGAAAAATCTCTTATTACCTGCTGTTGCAGCTTACACACTGACTGATTTCTGAAAGGTTTCTCAGGGACTTCACATGTATGTGACTTTGGATTATTGGCTCAACTATTCCATTTTCTGCATCATCTTGCCTTTCACTACTTACACAGTGGCAGCCATTTTGTTGCCTGTAGATGGAGGAATGGAAGTTAGAAAACACTGTATGTTCCTAAGAACTCTCTATTTTACACAAATGATGATGATAATGATATGTTGGCTGTATTGAAAGGGTAGCCTTGTGATTTCATCATGTGTGGGGGGAAAAAAAAACAATTTTCAAAGCAGATATGAGCCTATCCTTGGAACAATTGTATATTTTTAGCCATGGTTGTACTTATGAGAACATCCTCTTGATTAAGTCTCATTTATATACTGTATATTTCAACCTCTCTTATGTCTGATTGGGCCATTTAACAAAAAGAAAGGAGCCAGTAGCTGATTTAATTGTTGTTCCTCCAAAAGATTAAAACATCTTTTGTGCTGCAAAATTTCTCCCACTGTTTGTATCTTTGGGGAGAATGTTCTCTGTGGCCAGTCATTTTAAGAAATATATTCTGACAACCAGAATTTGGGTGTGTCACTTCTGATGAATAACATGGAAGACAGGAAAAACCAAAAGACACCCAGTGCCACAGCAATGAGATCAACCTTGTGAATGTATTAAAATTCCTTGTATGTCTTCATATTTCTCTATTATTCTAAAAAAAAATCCTAAATAGAAAAACAACAACAATGTAAGTGGTGTCAAATAACACCTCAACATGACATTTTAAGCCACAAAACCTGGAAGAAAGGGGGAAAAAACTACAAAAATGGCCGCCTAATGTGGCGTTCGGTCGCACATACGTGACGTAACCGCGGAGTGATCGTAGCTTGTCAGAACCATGGTCAACGCTGAGAGGCAGTGAGCAGCAGAGGTCTAACGTTAGCTCAGCTACTCATTAGGACAGAGACACTGGAGTGGGAAGACGTTTTTGCGGTGAACATTTCTGAAAGCAAATGTTAACTTTCGGATAGTACGGTTTGCTAGGCTGTCTAGCGTTTCGGGGGCTAGCTTTGAGTTTACTTGCTGGTGCTCTGCGGTGGAAATAGCAAAAAATGTCGTCTCCAAGTCCGGGTAAAAGGCGAATGGATACCGATGTGGTGAAACTGTATCCTTTCTGAACATAAACAACAGTCTCTCAATCGCTGTCTAAGTCAGCTATCTGATGTAATGTGGAAATGTGATACGAGCAAGCCCTATTTGTTGTTGCTGCCTGTTTGTGTTGGTAACCCAACGCAGAAAGAGCTTTCATTGTGAATGACTGGTGTTTTTGTGTAAACAACATTTTGCTAGCAAAGCCAAGTGTTAGCTATTTCTGTCCTGCGAACCGTCAGTCGCTCATCGGGACAGCTAATCAGATCGGTCCAATGTCCTGGTAGCGTTTTCCAACTGTGTATATGTGTAACATTAACGTTGGAGTTAGCTGTCCAGCTTGCTGTCTATATTTGAAAACGTATTTCAAACAGCCGAACTGACGCTAACGTTATTCTCCCCTTTTTTCCAGGAATGTCTTTCATCTTGTTGCACCACCAATAGACCTGGCAACGGTAGACTGTACAAACACCTTAATGGCAATTTGGTGTCTTTGTCCGGCCTGTTGTTGTCAGGGGACTTGAGTCAAACTGTCCTATTACACGTTGACACAGGAGCTTGTTTACATAACGTGAGGCTAACGTCAACTGGAAAACGCTGCTGTCTTTTGTTCTGCTCTCGTTAAAAACGTTGGCGTTACTGCAGCATGTTATAGCATTCCGGGTCCTACCAGCGTTGCTTTGTAACCTCACTAATGTTGTTCTGGTTGTGTTGTTGCATCTGCCACTTGAATTGTTCCCTTGTAACGCTAGTGAGCTGGCTGTGCTGGTTAATTTCAACATCAAAATGGCCACCTGATTCTGTGTGTGTCTCACTGTACTTCAGTGTCTGCAGGCAAATGTGTGGAAGGCTAACTTGTGTCATTTTAGATTTAGGTTGTTATTGGTTGGTTTTATTTTATTAGTATTAGAATTGGAAGTGAGTATGGCAGATTATATAGTTTTGTTAAGGGGTACAGCAGGTGTCATGTGCCTGCAGTCGTTTTCACTGTGGAATACTTGAACTTTCAGGCAACATCTAGTGTGCTGTTTTTCAAGTCGTTGTCACCACGTTTACTTTTGTGCTGCTGATTTGTTTGTTCAGCTTCACTTAGGCCTGACAGAGTGAGCTCTAACGGTGAACCATAGTGACACATTTCCAGTCCATACAATGTTCTAGAAGAACATTTAAAGAAGTAGTTTTGTGTTTGTCCCAGCACAGTGGAAACCAGCTTAATGATTGGGTAGCCTGTTACTAGCCGGAAACCACAAGAGGGAGGGACTTAGAACAGCTGATGGGATGGCAGTACAGCTTAGTCAAATATGGGGCTGGAACTGGGCTGGTCAAAACAAACCAAAAACAAGGGAAGTGGTCCCAACAGGGTCGACATAATGGTCACAAAGGAAAAGTTTAAACATCTTGTTGGAGCTTTTAAATTAAATTGAAGTCTTGCTGCATTATATGTATATTTTTTTCTTTACATAGACCTATTGTATTTGACTTATGCAATACTGATTCTGGCTTTCATAACACATCTTGCCTCATAGCATCACATTAGAGTTGGAATATCAGGGGCCTACACGGTGGAAACTGCATGTGGCTGCAATATGTGAATACACATAAACAAGGAGGCTGCAGCTAGCTACATTTCAGTTATTTTGGCCTGTTGCCTGTGGCGTTTTGTTACGTCTTCTAGCTATCAACAGTACTTGTTTGAGCAAGTTTATGCCCCCCCCCCACTTGACTCCACTTATATGTAGGCTATTGCAGCTATGACACAGTGGTGAAGCAGACAGAACAAGAGTTTTTAAGGATTGCAGCACACACACTCTGGCTTGCAGCAGCAATACACCCCCTCTCCTTCTTGGGCTACTTGACTGACAGGCACGAACAGGTTTGCTGTACGCCACCTGCTCAATTCCATACAATGACCTGTGTGTGTTTTACGATACCAAAGCAAGCAGTGGTCAGCAAGTGTTGGAAGAAGACAGCTATGTGTGTTTAAATGTAGTTCTACAGAATAGAGATTTAGTGGCTTACATACCACATGGGTTCACTGCTGACTAGGCCGTCTTGTTGGTTTAAAGTAGGGAGGGCTCCAGGTTACTGGTATGGGGAACAGTTCTGTCCTTCTGTTTGTGTCCCCAGAGCAAAACTTGCAGTAACAACCTCCTCTCTGTGCTCCCTATCCCTGCGTCTCCCCCTGGTGTAACCAAAACCCGAAACTCACACCACCTTTTAGACAGAAGCAGCGTCTTTCTTATGGGCTGACACTGAGAGCCCTCACGCATTAATTTGCTGCGGCCACCGGAGAGCTGTGAATCTAGAGCGAAGGCCATTAGGGAATTCATGAAAATGAATGTCAGACTGACCTTAGCATGTAGCATCACTGGGTTTAAGCTTTGTCCTAAGCCAGGCCGATGGATAGCAGCCTGCTTCTAGTACCAAATGTAGAGTCTTTGTGTTTGCATGCCAGTAGCCTGAACTCTTTGTGCTATTTAATGACAGATAGTCATGGAGAAGGTATTAAGTGTTGGATTACACTGACTTCACACTGTATTTTTCTGTGTCCCGTGCTCTTTCACACCCCCTCCTTTGTAAACTTTCTTAGTCCTGAGTGGCACGAGACAACTTGTTTATTGTCCAGTTCTTGCCAAACTGTAGTCCTAAACCTTAAATTAGTGTTATTTTCCAATGACCTGCATACCTTTTGGCCACTGGCTATTCAGTCTTCCTCTTGGACATGTTGCTTTAACTTTGGAACACAGTGTTCTTGAACACGAGTCTAAGAGTATATCATTTCAAAGAGCTTTACATTCAGCTTGTTGTGTGGGGTTGACTGCACATACTGTGTAGGTAGTTGTGCTATTATTTTCATGTATTCATCATTGGTCTACTCACTTTACAAATGCTTTCAAGCAGTAAGCTGCTGGAATTTGAACACAGGTAGATTACAAAGGACTAAGCCTTTTTTGAATGCTAACACTAGCTCTTGTGGTTGTGTCTGGCCTATGGATGCTAATGCAGAGAATGGATGCTAATGCAGAGAAAGGGACATAAAAGGAAATGTGTAGAGTTAACTGTACAGCAGTTTATATTTAGTCGAAAATCACCTGAATAACAAGATATGTTGGTACAAATATATTTTTTCTGTGGTCACAAAAGTGAGATTATGGAATTGTATAGCTTCGCTCCCCTCAACAAGGCTCTTATTTATCATGAAACGTCTCTTGCTTGTCATCTAATACATGAACAGTAATACAAAGATTTAGAAAATTTCATTTAATAACCATATTTTCATCTTCAGGTGAACAGACATACTGCACTAGGTGATATGAAAGTAATGAATAAGTAAAATGTATCGGGAGATGTAGGCAAACTAATTAGTTCTTAATATCAAGGAGTTTGAGACTCTCTTTTAAATGAGTAAGCCTCGGCTCCTCTAACCTTGACTTCTTTAGTCACTGCTGAGGCCACTGTCCACAGGAATATTTATCTTTATGGTAGCATAAGCCTGAAGACTTGAGGAGTATATTTGTTCATTTATGAAATCTCATTACATCAGAGGGATGTTAGAACATTTTTATGTAAACAAAACTGCGTCTCAGCTGTATTTTTTTCAACCTTTCAGTTGCTGCTGGAAGGTCTGAAAGTGATTGGATAGCGGTTCTGTGAAGCATGGCCACCAATGAATTATATTTGAGACTGTAGGGAGTTGTTGGGAGGGGGTGTTGCATGCTTCATCGGCCCCAGTACTCATCATGATACCTGTCATCAGAACTAGTGTATATAGGCCTTTAATCATTTCACCCCAAGTCAGCTGTTGTCTTGTGATGTTGCGCTTCATCTTTCACCTTTCAAGGTGAGTTTGCATTTTCAGATTTACTTGAAGTGACTGTTGAGGCAAAACCTGCCCTTCAGTAATCCTGATATAGTAAGTTGTCCACAGTCAGGGGGTAGGGTTCTCGGGGCAGTGTCCACCTTCTCTTTCTTTTTATTTTTTATTTTAATGTCCTCCCCCACTCCATTGCCCATCCCATCCCTCCTCCCTCCCTGAGTTGAATACCATCCTGAGCTTTATCTGCTCTCCGCTTGGTGTTTCGGCCCCATTGTGCCCTTGTAACATGACATCCGGACAGCTTCAGCAGCGGAGTCTTTTGTGTTTCCCGTTTACAGAAGACCCTGTGACCTCCACCTCCCGCTGCTGTGTCAGACCATGTCACACTGTCATAGGCAGCTAATCTGCACCCAACGCTATTATTGCGGGACTGAACCAACTAGACGCAGTTTACTGTAGGGAAGGAGCTAGCAGCTTTCGGCCTGTTCCTGACTGAGAGATTGATTGAATGAATAGGAGCATGATGGACCCATGACAAGAATGGAGAACGCTCTGGTCTGGTGATGAAGTTGCAGAAACTAACGTTCGTTGTCATTATGGTGTAATAGAAATAACAAGTTAGTAGTATACACAAAGAAGCTAAGAAGGTTACAGAAAACGTGCAAAGTACCATTTCTTTTTGTCATTTTTACTTTGTCAGAGTACCATTTTGCATTATGATGACAAAAAATGGCATATACTGTAGATATAAAGCTACATAACTAACAAAAACACTAAACTGATACACACAGTCAAAGTATATGTTGTTTAGATGGGAATCTACACTATGTATGATAATAGGAGTCTACCTCAGTCATGTTTTCCTCTACTTAGCCTTGCTTCAGTAGGCATTGACTGTACTGTTAACCCTAAAGCCCAGTTATCACTTTGTAGTTCATGTTTATTGTGGCTTTGGTTAATATTTAATGGGTCGTAAGGTGATTGAACACTAACTAAGACAATGTAGGGAATGGCCCACCTACAGTATGCACTCTACCAGTGATGGTATGGAATTAAAAAGACTGAACTGAGATATTTAGGGTGTCTGCAAGTCCTGGGAAAGCTGATAATGTAACCAAAATTCAAATGGTTTTGTTTTGTATACAGTCAAATATAAGTCTTAAGATTTATATGTTGTGGTTGTTTGGCTGTGTGCTTGT